TATATATATATACCCCTTCAATATGCGGAGGCTCATCGGTTGGCTTGTAAATCCCTGCACTGCTGATGAACAAAAATTGCTTCACTCCTGTACTCTTTGCCCAATCTGCTACTGGCCTATTGAAGACATTGATATATTGATATATCAGTGGTATTTTACATTAAGTAGCACTGATAGTTGAACACTAAAATGCCGCCCAAATTTGATTCATATCAATATCGAAAATTGAACACAAATGCTGTGTTTTTCAATTTTGTTTTTAACTTTTATTATATAAGATTGTTCAAGAAATGCAGACCTCACAGCATCCAAATCCTTTCCATTGTTATCCAACACCACATCAAACGCAGCTCCCTCCAACACCTCCCCAATATCTGCTGGCTCACCCCACACTGTCTTCCCTCCAGCACTCACAATTTCCTGCAACAAAAGCCTCCTCTTTTTTCATTTCACCAAAAAAGTGACTCAAATGATTTGATTTATCATGAAAAAAGATTGCAATTCATATGTATAATTTTTATCTATTTTCTTTACAGGTCCAGTTTTCTTCTATGCATGATTAATCTTAACTGAGAATCTGTTGAAAGGCGGCTTCTTCATCTTGTCCGAGCCCTCCTCACCAACGGTCAGGATCGTGACACCATTGCCGGCCGCCAGAAGCTCCTTTGCAAAGTAGAATCCGATGACGGCATGGCCGCCGCTGTTCGTGTTGACAACGAGCACATTCTTCTTCTCCGCGCGGACTGTGAATGACGAGAAAGCCCTTCTGGAGGCGTTTTTAGTCGAAACTGCTCGAAAAGACGGTGAGAAGGAGAGAGAGGAGGGGAGAGACTGAGACGAGAGTGAGGAGAGAGAAAGTCGGGCAATGGGAGCGAGAGAGGATGATGACGAGGACGAGAGAGATGAGGTGGAGAAGAGGAGAGAGGATGAGGATGAAGCTATTGCAGTGGCCATTGGAGGCTTGGAGCTCTTGTGTGGTTATCTTCTCTCTTGAAGATCGATGGTGTGAGAGCTGAGAGAAGCTTTTGTTTCTTTTAATTGGATTATAATGTTTTTTTGGCTCCACTAAATGTAAGTTTCAATTTACAGTTGGGTTGCCTTTGTAAATATACAGTTGAATAGCTATTAAATTGATTTTGTGGTGGATTCTCATTCAATGGGTGTGAATAGAAGAGTATGTGGTGTGTAGCTAATCTCTAAAGAGTGGATATGTTTTTGTGTTTTCATTTAGGACCTGTGAAGAATGTTTACATATTTAGCGATATTATTGACAATTAACAATTAAGTGGCTGTAGTTTAGTGGTGAGAATTCCACGTTGTGGCCGTGGAGACCTGGGCTCGAATCCCAGCAGCCACATTTTTTTTAATCCGTCTCTTTTCTGGGGTAATTTTCTTCTACTATTTACATTTTCCTATTTTTAATATAATAAATCAAGAAAATTCTCCATTTTCTTTTTATCTTTTTTTTTTTTTTATTTTTTGGATAATGTAATTAGATATGTTTTTCAGTCCATTATGTCATCCACCAATTACATAAATACATCATTCATATATTTTACTTTTCTTTCTTTTTTCTATAAGTCGAAAGCTAATTTCATATAAAAATGTATTTAGTATAAATATAAATAATATCGATATGTTTATGTTGTGATCTCAGGCGAAAATGGTATTTCGATGAACGAGAATGCAAAAGGGGATCTGGGAAATATTTCAGACAAAGAAAGGACAACGAGTTTGGACGATGTTGTTGATAAAGGGGATCATCTTTCGACACGTGGCGCAACCGGAGGCGTCGATTAAAGATAGTGAAGGGAACATCTCAGTCGTACGCGTGTCTAGCTTATTTTATCTCCATAAACCTTTAAATATGTAATTTTCCTTTTTAGCATTTTCTTTTAGTAATTTTATTTAAGTAGTGGAATGTGGGCATCTTTGGTGGTTTTGCATGGCCCACACAAGTTGTTATATTTGGCAGAAACTAATGAGAGAATGGCAAGTAATGATTATCCAATTATTCCCTCTCACTCTCTCTTCTCTCTCCTCACCAAAATCTCTCTCTCTCTCTCTCATCGTCACTCCTCTCCCCTCTTCTTCCTCAAGTCATCAATTTCACCATTGTTGCTAAGTTGAAGTTACAGAAAAATTCATAAAAATTCCCAAAAAAAAAAATATAAAAAGCTCAGAACACGACACTTGGTATCCAGAGCAACATGATCCTCGGAGATGGCCGAAAACACCCGCTTGAAGGACCTGCAAGAAAACCAAAAGAGGTTGGATCATATTTTACAAACAGAAATCCTAAAAAGAGAAGCAGCTGAGGTCAAATTACAAGAAAAAATGGAGAGCATGGGCATTCTGATGAAAGAACAAGCTGTGGAAGTAAAAAATGAGATGAAGGAACAACTCACTGGGGTCAACAACAAATTTGAGCACCTCGCCAATGTGTTAGCAGCTATGCAGCTACAACTACTGAATTTTAGCAAGGACACAGAGACAAATGCAGAGGAGTCCATACTGGGAAATCCAAACACTCAAAATGGAGACAACTCCAGCAGGAGGACATCACAGTTCCAGAAATTTAGAGCCATCGGGGAACAGCTCTACCAACCACCCACTCCTCAAATCATGAGTAATTTTCCTAAACTTGATTTTCCAAAATTTGATGGGACAAACCCCAGGGCTTGGATACTTAAATGCACAGGGTATTTCAAATTGGTACCCAACCTATCAGACTCACAGAAGGTGACCTTGGCATCCATGCACTTTGAAGGTAAGGCTGCCCTTTGGTTTCAAAATTTCAGTACAAAGGATTTGGAGTTAGATTGGCCTCAGTTCTTAGAAATCATATCAGCAAGGTTTGAAGAGTTGAAAGAGGTGAAAATTATTGCTGAATTCAACAAGTTAAAACACACTGGCTCGTATTTAGAATATGTTGAAAAATTCGAGGAATTAAAAGCTTGCATGGTGTTAATGAATCAAGGGGACTACTCTGAGGAGTATTTTATTGCTAGCTTTATCAGTGGATTGAGTGAGGAACTCCAGGCCTTTATTCATATGTTCAACCCCTCTACCTTGCAACAGACAATTGAATTGGGAAAAAAACAACTCCTTACCCTTGAAGCCATTACCAAAAAAATCAAAGGCAACAACAAGACTGCCTACACAGCCCCTCACATACCCTTCTCAAAACAAAACTCAAACACTAAAACCAAAACCAACACCAACAACTATAACAGAACCCCCACTAAACTCCTCAGTACTATTGAAATGGCTGCAAGGAGAGAGAAGGGCCTTTGTTACAATTGTGATGAAAAATTTATTCCAGGCCATAGGTGCAAAAATAGAATCCATTATATGATTATGACTGAGGAAGAGGAAATGGCCTATTTACAGGTTATTCAAGGGGATGAAGTAGATCCTGACCATAATGAGGAAAATAGGGAAGAAGCACAAGTGTCCCTTAATGCTGTGTGTGGTGAAGGGGGCTCTACCACCTTGAAATTCCATGGATATGTTGGAGAACATAAGTTACTCATTTTAGTAGACACAGGGAGTACATTGAGTTTCATCAAGGAATCAACAACTAGAAAGTTGGGATGCACTCTGAAACCAGTCAAGCCATTAATTGTGAAGGTGGCTAATGGACACAGACTAGTAAGCGACCAAATGGCAGAGGGATTTAAGTGGCAAATGCAGGGCCAAAACATGTCCTACTCTCTTAGGGTATTGCAGAGTGATGGTTTTGATTTAATCCTTGGTGGGGATTGGCTTAAGTCATGTACCCCCATTAAGTTGGATTACCAAACAATGACAGTTACTGTTAATATAAATGGAAAGAAACTGAGGTTACAAGCTTTAACAGGTGAGGCTCATTGCCATCTTATATCTGGAGATACCTTGTACCAACTTTGGCACACTGAAGACCAAATTGAAGAGGTATTCTTACTCTCTGTGGAAACACAAACCCAAAAGGAGGACCCTACACTATCACTGCTCTTGGAGGAGTTTGATGACATTTTCAAGGAACCCCAAGGGTTACCTCCTGGTAGAGGGACAGAACACCAAATTATGCTCAAACCAGGCAGTGTCCTTAAGCTACAATACCCCTACAGGACTTCACATGACCAGAAAAATGCAATTGAAGGAATTGTTAAAGAAATGCTGGAGTCTGGCATCATACAAAACAGCAAATCTCCATTTGCCTCTCCTGTCCTATTGGTGAAGAAAAAAGACCAAACATGGAGGCTCTGTGTGGACTACAGGTATCTAAATACCCTCACCATTAAGCATGACTTTCCTATTCTTGTAATAGAAGAACTGTTGGATGAATTTCATAGAGCAAGATTCTTTTCCAAGATTGATTTAAGGTCTGGTTACTTCCAGATCCTTATGAAGGAAGAGCACAGATATCTTACAGCATTTAGGACATACAGTGGGCATTATGAGTTCCTTGTTATGCCTTTTGGCCTCTGTAATGCTCCAGCAACTTTTCAATCTCTTATGAATCAGGTTTTCAGTGATTGTTTAAGGAGGTTTGCCCTGGTATTCTTTGATGACATTTTAATCTACAGCAGTTCATGGGATGAGCATATCACACACCTAAGGCATGTGCTCAACCTACTCAGAACCAACTCACTCTTTGCTAAGAGGAGCAAATGTCAGTTTGGGGATTCAAGCATTGAATATTTGGGTCATATTATTTCAGCTAAAGGAGTGGCCACTGATCCTAAGAAAATTGAAAGCATGTTGCAATGGCCCACTCCTACCACAGTTAAGCAGCTGAGGGGATTCTTAGGCCTCACTGGTTATTATAAGAGGTTTATAAAAGGGTATGGAATGGTTAGTAAACCCCTGACTCAACTCTTGAAGAAGGATCAGTTCAAATGGGGTGATGAAGCACAAGAGTCTTTTGAAAAACTTAAGCTAGCTATGACCACTGCTCCAGTTTTGAGGTTGCCAGATTTTTCTATGCCATTTATTGTGGAGACTGATGCTAGTGGATATGGGATTGGAGCCGTGCTAATGCAAGAGGGAAGGCTCATTGCCTTCCTCAGTAAGGCATTATGCCCAAAAAACCAAACATTATCTGTGTATGAAAGGGAGTTCTTGGCTGTACTTTTTGATATTCAAAAGTGGAGACATTATTTGCAAGGCCATAGGTTTATAATAAGAATAGACCAACAGGCTCTCAAATACCTGCTTGAGCAAAAGGTGGTTTCCCCTTGGCAGCAAAAAGGAATTATCAAACTCTTGGGGTTAGACTATGAGATTCAATATAGAAAGGGGAAGGAAAACAAAGCAGCTGATGCCTTATCTAGAAATACAGAGGGTCAGGTTGAATGTGAGGCTATCACAAAAGTCACCCCCACTTGGTTGAAGGAAGTTATTGGCAGCTATGATAAAGAGGAATTCCTTAAAACCATAAAGGAGACACAAATGATAGACTCTAAATTAAAGGACCACTACAACATCAATGAGGGGGTTATCAGATACAAAGGAAGGATTGTGGTGGGAGATGATGAATCAAAAGTCAAGCAACAAATCATTTTTGCCATGCATGATTAAGCAATGGGGGGACACTCTAGGATCAATGGCACTTATAGAAGGCTTAAGGGTGTATTTTTTTGGCCTAAAATGAAACAGGAGGTTGCTGATCATGTACAGCTCTGTGATGTTTGCAGGCTCAACAAACCAGATCATGGGCTTAAATCTGGTTTACTGCAGCCCTTACCTATTCCCTTAGAAGCTTGGACACATGTGTCCATGGACTTCATTGAGGGGTTGCCTAAATCCGGGGGAAGAAACTCTATTTTGGTGGTAGTGGACCGACTTACAAAATATGGGCATTTCATTGCTCTATCTCACCCCTACTCTGCCCAGACAGTAGCTCAACAGTATTTGGATCATGTCTACAAATTACATGGTCTACCTGAGTGCATCTTAACAGACTGAGA